ATTTGGGAACTTGGTCGTCTGAGATGTTCCGTACAGTAGGAAGAGTTCCCCACACCGGTGGAATGAGAAACCCCGGGCTGTTTTCTTTGGGAAGAGAGAGAGACAGTAGAATGAATGGACAGAGACACGGTAGGACAGGCGCAGAGGGCGTCTACAGGAATCGTGTTCTGTCGGCGTGGTTTCTCTCTCTTCCCCGCGTGTGAAGAGAAAACATTAATGCAAAAAGGCAATTCGAAAGAAAAACAATAAACATGGGGTTGATCAACATACTACATATGCATATTATTACAGCATTCCCTCTCAAACAGCGATGCCATTCGACCCACTGATCAGTTTGGGTAAGAGTTTCCGCCGCCACGGCGTACACTAGTCCTATGAACTATAACAACCGAAAACACGATGGCGGCGTGAAGTAAAATGAACCCGAAAGACTCATTCTGAAAACCCAAAAATCGTGACGTTTACACTTCGCCCAAGAACAGCAAGAGGGAAGAGCATGCAACAGGTGAAGAGCCCATCACCCCACAACCAACCGCGGAGGCTGAATCACAGACTAAGAGTGCGACCGGAGATGTCTACGTAACACAACACAACGAAGCAGGCCCAACACCCCGTGAAATCGGCAAGTGAGTGTGGCGTTTTTCGTTTCAGCCCCTTCACCTCCCAACGCCCCGGAAGCCCGAGCAGGGCGGCAAGACCAAGCACCGGTCCATAATGAATGTAGAGGACAGCAAGGCGATGTAGCTGCGCCAATCACGTAAGACAGGAACAAGCCCCTTTCCACAATTGACAGCATTACCAAGCGACACCATACACGGCGAGGAGGAACACCTCGACGGGATGGTTTGGTGACCAAGGCACCCGCCCCCCCGTATAGTGAGAGGCGTGACAGTCGTCAGGCTAACACGACCGTATGTTGGATAGCTTGGTGTGCCCGGCGCAGCTGTAGACGGCAAGAACAAAAGAACCGCGCGGCGAATTTGCCGGCAACCGTAAAGTTCAGAAAACTGCCCGCGGGTGTGGCAACCCGCATCTGTGATGTTCCGGAGCGTGATAGCTCTGATGTGTTGACGCCGGTGTTGTCGTAGCTTTGAAATGGCGTCATAGCCTAGAGGTGTGTCAGGCTGGCAGCGTGATGGCGGGTGGGTATGCAGTATGGACACGGGCGTGATGGCCCAGGGCGTGATAGCCGGGGAAGAGGAAGATGAACTAATGCAAGGGCACGTGGCCAGCACCGTTGCAGACACGCATACCCCGAGCACAATATAATGTAGCGAAGATGGCACCACGATTCCCCGAATTCATCACAACAGCAGAACCCCCAAAATTCCCCGCTTCTCCCCCCTCGGTGTTTGCCATCGGGATTGGGTTTTCGGCGCTTGGCAAGGACGTTGTAAAACAAGCCAGCTCACTTCGTGAATTCGGTAGCCAGGTTACCGTTTCATTTTTTTACCTCCGGTTTTTTTGTGGTGCGGCAACCACAATGGTGGTCGAGTAGATCATGTTGTGCGGAGTCGAGAACCCTCAGCCCGGGCAAGGGGGATGATCGCACCACATTGTGTTGAAATAGTCAAGCACTCTCGAGGCAGTTACACAATGCTTACATCTGTCTCTGGAAGTGAAAGCGCCTCAAAAATTANCCCCCCCCCCCCCCCCCTCTCATCTTCTCGGAACGTTCCTCGGGTGCAATAATTTGTCAATGTTGTGAGTGCATCCAACAGCACATGTTCGACAACGTACAGGACCTGACTCATTTCCTCTCCTCAAGAACTCTCTGTCTGTCCTGCTGGCTGGAGTGTTAAACCGCAGCATCTTTCGAAATCCTGCTGTGCGTGGACAAGGAACAGTCAAGGCGAAAACACGCATACGCAAGGAGGTTGACAGAACCATCAAGCAATGCACGGAGGGAGCCGAAGCGCAAGCGGGAAGGACCCCGCCTGACACTTCCATATGCCTTCATCTGTTTCCGTTTCTATCGTCGAATCTGGAGAATAACCCAGCCTCTCCCGTGACAGCCACCGGTAGTGGACACGAATCCATCATCTACGAGGAAAAATGACACACAGACCAGAACAATCCCAGGAGCCAGCTGCCCCCAGTGCACTCAGGGAACTCTACAGCGATTGCGGAACCTGCCATGCACCGGTTCTACGAGAGCTCAGTAGGTTGAACGTCTTCTTGCTTCGTCTCTGCTACTATAGCATTACCCCCGAATCATGACCTACCTTACCGTTAGAGGCGTTCTCGTTGTTCTCACAGAAAATACAACGGCCACCTCTATCCATGAAGAGTTCGGGATGAAGTTGGCAACAAAATCGTATGTCATATCAACAATATTTTCCGTTTTTTTCCGCACTGAGGCTGACGCGCGTTTATTGGTTAGACGCGGTGCTAGAACTGCAAATTACGGTGCACCCTCGCATCTACATCTGCTTCGTGACCCGGTTTGACTTCACGGGACTGTTCTCCAACTTCAACGGTACTCTGATTTGGCACCTGCTGTGCCTCTCTTGCAGACAAGATGCTCCGAATGACTGGTGACGATGATGCTCCCCCCCTGATGATTTTGCCTGTCTTTCGTGCCTTGACTCGGTTCGTGCGACGGTGGTCCACACACACACATACACGCGGTTGCAAACAGCCCGGGAACGACGCGGCTAGGGACACGCAGGAGATGGACGAGGGTCTGTGGGAGCAAAACCAAAAGTGAGAGACAACGGGACAGAAGCAAGATCGAGAGTACAAGAGTAGATAAAATAGACACCTTGTTTCTCGTCTTTCTCTCTACCCGTTCTCTCTCCCAGTGGGGAGAACTTTTCTGTGCCTCAATACCGAAGAAAAAACGGGGGCCGGGTCGGGCGGAAGGCATGCCTTCGTGTTTTGAGCATTGCACAAACATTATGCAACGATAGCCCGGGCGGGATGATGGTGACCCGAGATCGGAAGGGAACGAAAAAGACCGCGTTGCGGCGGGGGCAGGGGCATCGCTTTGGTGCTTCATTTCTTTTAGCTGAGAATACAATGTGCGCATGCCACGATTCTAGTTGAACCCTCGGCCTCGTCGCACGGGGTTGGGGGTGGAGAGATCACAGTTGTGGCGGGTGGGTGGAATATTCATGGCGGAAGAAGTTTAAGCTTTGGAGGGATCGGGCCGTCGCCTGGAGCAAATTCGCGCGCATGGTTGTCACGCATGGGTCGAGTTCCGTTAGCGTACCGAGAGAGAGCTGGTGTTGGTATCAAACCGCCGCCGCTCGCGGGGGGGGACGTGACCGACCCCTTTGGGCCTGTAATCCGAACGCCTGTATGTGGTGTTTTCGTTCTGCATGGGTATGTATACTGATAGCACTGAGCATGCCCTTGTTCCACTGGTGTCAGTCTGAGCATGCAGGAAAGGTTTTTCTACAACACCCCAGCCCTTGTAACGCATTCTGCTCCCCCCACCTACGCGCTGCACGTTCTCTGCGCCCCCCCCCCCCCCCCCCGCGTTCTCTCATGTGTCTGGCACTGTCTTCCGCTACACTGTCTTCCTCCTTTGACTGCGCCCGGCTGCTGCTGATGCGATGTGTCGTTCGGGGTGATGCGTATAACCCAGATTGTAGAGAGGCAGTCACCTGTTTAGGGTAAGCCAACTGGGCGAAGAAGATGAAGTACATCGTTTTCGTTACCTCGTTCAGGGGCTGGGCGCCAGCCGCGGGGCGCGCGCATGATAGAGTGAACGCATGATAGAGTGAACGCACGCCGGGCCCAAGGTCGTCCTTCGAGTGTAGCTGGGCCGGAGAGGCTCACCGGCGGAAGGGGAAGGGCACATGAGGCCGAAGGACCAGCGAGCACACAGCCACGGGGACTATTTCCTTTGCGGATGGGGGGAGGAGATCGGAGATCATTGGGGGCTCGCGGCCGGCGCGTCGTCCTTCCGAGCGCAGTTCGTTTTCGCGTTTTCACGCGCTGAAGTATTGGGTACAATAGGGTTGAGAGCTGTTGTTGGAGGTCAGGGTTCCACGAAGCGTCAACATCCACAAAGTAAGGCGACACATGCAACGACACAATGCGTGGCCACATAAGTTCTATTTTTAGAGAAAAAGCTGCGCGTATGTACGGGCTGAGTAAACGGGTGGAGAGCCCTCTATCGTGATGGCGATGTAAACACGCGCACGCCAAGTCTTCAGCCCGTTTTTGGCACCTGAGGCGCTGCGTTTTGATGTGACAATGGGCGAGAGCGTTCTAACCGAAGGAATCGACAGGAATGAACAACGACAAGTGTACCTCTCGCCCCTCCCTGCCGGCGGGGCCCTTGTTCTGCAGACAAACACCAACAGCACAGAATGACGCGAGGGAAAAGGTCCAGGGGAACAGAGATGTGTGCGAGGCCTCGTGGTCGTTTATCCGGTCAACAAAGGCAATGGGGAGAGCTAGAGGCACCAGCTTTTCCCGAGATACCCTGAAGCCCTATTGGCTTCAGAGCCTGTCACGGAATGGGGTATCACAACATACATTCACGAAGTACCTGTGACCACGTGAACGAAGCCCCTTCCGTCCTGATTCCTGGATGTACATTGCCCTCCCGGCGGGGGGGGCGGGGGGGTGGCCGATTTGTCAGGAATTGTTTTTCACGTAGGCCCTTGTCCGGAAGCCCATTAAACCTCTGCACTGAACCCATGTCCTACAGCGGGGTGCAGGTCAATGACCATGTCGGGCTCCATCGATGTATGTATTTAGTTTTGTTTGGTTAGGGTTCGCCGGGTACCGTTCACTAGAGGGAGTATGCTATGTCACGGGGCGTGGCGTACAGCACCTACCCCGTACCGGGTAAGAAAACGTAAGAATCTCTTCTTTGCAATAGACTATTATCCTTGATACTCGGCGAAGGAAGCCATGGATTGCATCCCCGTGGTTGGTTGTGTCTTGTGATGTCGGACTTCAATATTTCGGCCCGGGACGCGTGAATTGTTCGATACAATCAAATCTTCGGTGCCTACCCCGATTCGCTCATCAAATACTGTACATAGAGTACGTACCCGTTCATTTTTTGCTGTTTTACCTTGTCTTCCGGCAGACATGGAGAAGAACCCTTAAGCTCATAGTCTACCATTTGTCCGATCACTGTTGGGTACGTGTCAGTTCGTGTTACGATTCTGCTCTGTGTTTGTAGAACACAACATTATCACTGGTTCCAGTGATGTGAGCTGTCGGCTTGTCACGACTCTCCCACGTGGAGTATTTGTGACATGACACGAGAGATAGGCGCCTGAACACTGAAAGCAAATGTGCTCGGACCAGTGTGGGAATTGCATTTGAGACAACGAAAACGCGATCTCGCGATCGCGCACCCACTTAACAAAACCAAAAGGCTGTGCAGCCCCTCTGCAAGTGCTACATTGTGGCCTTGTGCTCCCGCGTGCGTGCTTCCCCTAGGTGCGCTTCTTCCTCTTCCTCTTGTCCTTCTTCAGTGGTGTATCAGTCGTGGTTGCACCCCGCCGTTCGTCATCGGCGGTGGCCACTGCGCGTCGTTTCGGCTCGCAGCTGCCAGAGAAGCTGGCGACGATGCAGGGGCGGCGGCGGAGCTGTCCGCTGGGTACGACGCGGCGGCTTCCCTCTGATTGGTAGATGTTTCGTTGCGTTCACGTACGTCCAGACCGGCCGCAGGAGGTACACATCCACGTCCACGGTGTGCCAAAAATCGCAAGCAACATGCGATGAACGCATTTCGAGCGGAGAGGTTTAGGATCACGGCGGCGTTGCGTTCAAGGATGATCGATTTTCTATTTCATTGTGTGGTGCCATGTGGTCTATCGAGAGCCAGAGGAATATAAGCTTTTGACGCGGGGGCACAGGTTGCACTCATACTTTCTTTGGCAAATGGTACATCTGAGGGTCGCAGTAGCCGACATGCCGGGAAGGCCGTAAAGTTTTGCGTTCTTCAAATCAGATTGTGCGGGGTGCCCTTGGCAACCTCAAGTACAGCAGGATGGGGCGACAGACAGGACAGGTGCACGTATGTTCCCCCAGGAAATCGAAGAAAAATGTATCTCCGGATCTGCGCCGAGCTCACCCGTAGGTCATACACTCACCTCCCGTGCCTGCGCCGTGAGCAGCACTAGCTCGTCGGCGTCGAATACATCACCGATGCCCATCGCCATTCTCTCGCTGCCAGCGAGAGCCCTCCCGAAGCTCGGTAGAGGCGACAGCGTCGCCTTTGCTCAGGTCCAAGCCGAACTCGGAGGCGAGGGCGTTGGCCAGGGCCCCGGACTTAACCTGCACGTTGTAGTGCGGGCAAGAGGCCTTCCACACCAACATGTCGGCGATGTCGATGTGGTTCGGGCGGCCCTGGGCCTCCGCGGCTTCCGCCGCAATTCGAGCGAAGGCCGCTGTCAGATCCTATTTTCGGGTGAGCATGGGTTAACAGGGTGAGGGTGCACGTATTATCCGGGGTGATGATTCTTCTTGATTAAAGACGTCGGGTGAACTGCATATGTAGCCTACATAACCACATACACATTCTCAATCACGCGCGTTTTTCCTAACGAATATTCGTTGTTGATGCCGTCTTCAATAAACATTCACTTCCTGTAACGTCTATTCAGCACTTCCAGCTACATAGACCGACCGACAGCTGACCCCACAGACAGACAGTCAATTTCGATGGCAGGTAGTCTCGTTTTGGAAACCGGCTCAACTGTCGGTACCACGAGTTTACCGGGTAGGGACTGCCGCGATGCAGCCACAGCCAGCAGGAATATATCAAACTCCGTTGCAGGGAGGGACCGTGCTGGGTTGCGCTCTACAGGCGTTTCTCACTCGCAGGTTCAAATCTTCCGGTACTCGACGATGACACGCAAAAATACTCAGTCTAGGCTTCTTTTTCGGGGTCAGCGTTTCAAGCGAATGTGAATGACAGCAAGTGAAGAATGTGGCGATCGTTGTGTTGTTTCCTCGTCATTGCAGAACGTATATCCTCCAAGCACTCCACTCCTTTTGTACTTTCGTATTGTGTATGCGACACATACATGTACCCGCGGAGTCCTCGATTGAAAGCTATTTCGCAGTACTTGATCGCGATGCTTGTGTTTGAGGATGGCGGCACTGCACCAAGAAATGACCCCATTTCCAAACCCCATGGTACAACTACTGCCACCACAAAAACCACCAAGAAGAGGAAGAGCATTTCCTGACGGTCACACCTAAACAACAACAACAATGGCGGCAACATGAACAGAAACTAACCGTCCTATTTGCGTTGCCGTCGTTGGCCATGTCGTCCATCGCCATCCCGACAATGTAGCCCAGGCTACAGGCGGGGCGCATGATGTCTTGCGGCACGTAGGGCGGCAGCGTGGAGGGGGAGTGGTGGGGGTCTACCACGGCTTCTCGGGCGCTATCCATCAGGGTAAGCTGAAGTCCAACATCGAACTCCATGGACGTGTGAAGGGTGGTCACGATGTCCTGTGACAGGTTCGGTTGAACGGGAATAGGGGTAGAACAGATGTTATTGCTATTGTTGTTCTTGTTGATGTTGTCTTCATATCAACAACCGTTCCGGTCTCTCTTCCTAGTACCTTCTTCTGTCCTTGCTAGTGTGACACTTGACGGGGTCGATTCCCGTGGTCGCAGGCAAACTTATCTCAGATATAAGGCAAACGAAAGTAAAATGGACCCGAAGAGTCCGCGAGGCAACAGAAGTCAACTACAGATAGTCTAGGCCATTCCGCTCGTCGCTATACGTTATGCGGGGTAACCCTAGACTGGAAAGGAAAGGAAAGGAAAAAATAATGAGAGAAAATGAAAAAAATGAAAAAATGAGAACAGATGAAGAGAAGGGAAAGAGAAGGAGAAAGGCAACGGCAGTAAATAACATAAATAACTGATGAAAACGTCACCTCTGTTGCGATACAAGGTAGGCAGGATAATCTCCACGTCAATCATTTCTTTGGACGCTTATTCTGGCGGAGGCGAACACTGATTTACAGCCCAAAACCGGCTTGGTGTGTACTCTTCTCACCATGTCCGGGAAGTCGTTGCGGGTGGCCCACCACACGTCGAACGCGCGAGCCACGATGGCCATCCCCCGCTTTAGCTGAAGCCCCAAGGAGTCCTCGTTGCTTCCTCCCTCTGCCCTCCCCGTCACCGAACCGGGCATGTCCTTCAGCATCTGGACGATGCTCACAGCCTGCTTGATGCCGAAGTCGTCGCGACCGTCATCGTTCTCGGAGATGCTGGTGTAGTTCCCCCAGCCCTTTTGCGTAGTCATGAGGAAGTGGAACACGGCCTCGACGTACGGCTGCAATTCCGTGGGGGAGGCGACGGTGCACGCGGAAGGGGGGGGTGGCTGTCATACAGTGCAAAACACACACGTGGCGCTCGGTCCGTCTTGTGTGGCGGTGGTCATGGCAATGACACAGGTACTTCTTTACGATGGTTTCATGTTTCAGACGTATTTGTGGGAAATACGACGCTCAAGAAAACAAGCGTTGCCACATGATTTTGGTACCTCGTCCGGAAAGCCGTCTGTAAGCTGTGTTGTTGGGTGGCAAAGAAGACATGAAGAAATGTCCAATAACGTTCTTCATCAGCTCAGATGATACAATATGCCATGCACTCCTGTACTGCAGACCCTCAAACGCCATTACGTTTATTTCTGAAGGAAGGCGTGAGCACGACGACAAAAAATATACTGCTGTACCTGGCAGTCCGGCGGAACGTGGACCAATGCCCCACCCTCCTCGTACCCGCGAAGGAGCTTGATGATCAGTTCCCAGAGTCGTCGCGGGCTCTGAACTGCCCACAGGATAGTTACCAGAAACCAGCTGCTCTGAAAGCAGTTCCCGCAGTCGTCTACGGTGATCATCACCGACTTGTCCCTCCACGCCTTGACGTCCTCAACGACGGGTTTGGTGTGGATGGCCATCTCCTTGTAGCCGGTCAGTCGGTATTGCTGATTACAACGCCAAAATGGACAAAAACGGGAAAGGAGCGCCAATAGAAAGGACTGCCCCAGTGGTAGAGACACATGACGAAGTATCCAGCCGGCGTCGAGGTCGCAAGTCGTTAGCTTGGCGGTCGAGGCCAGCGTAAGAGATGCGTGGGTAACTACTATTTGCAACGCGAGTCACGTCTTGCATCCACCATAACATGATCTGCTGGACCATCGACACCCATGGAAAACCCCATGCACGCTTCAGCCAAACCAGGACTAAAGTACGTCAACATGACTCTGCCCCTACCCACCTGGACGTTCCTCGGAGTCGCAGAAGCCTCGCATACATCCGCATTGAATGTCGGCGCTTCCTTCTGCCCTGTCCCTTCCTCTATCCTCCTGCTGTGAAGCACCGGGCGAATCACGGAAGGAACTGAACGACGGCACATTGACGATGGGGTGCCCACCTACATAGCGCGGAGAAAACCGAATACCTGGTATACCCGATTAACCTTGAGAGTGCATGGACGGGACGAACACCAACAGGATTACGTCCACGCGTGGCACAAAGAATCTCAACAGCGAATGATCGGGGCACTGCCCTACCACGCACCCGCGGATTTCTGCAACAGCGCGCTCTGCGGCCGCAGCTCGTTCCGTCAACACGGCATTGTCGTGGCTGCTGGTGGCGAGCTGCTGTTGCACTCTGGCCAGTTCCTCCTGGCTCTGCGCTGCTGCCTCCCCTTGCTCCCTGTTGTTGCAGTGGGGCACGATGGAGGCGGAAAGTGAGAGGCTGTTGCGCCGGAACAATGAATCTCGACGGAGTGCTGTTATCTATGAGTGGCACAAAGAATCTCAACGGCGAATGATCGGGGCACTGCCCTACCACGCACCGGCGTACTTCTTCGACAGTGCGCTCTGTGATCGCAGCTCTTTCCGTCAACACGGCAATGGCGGCGAGCTGCTGTTGCATTCCAGCCAGCTCCTCCTTCATCTGTACGACCGCCTCCCCTTGCTTCCTGTTGTTGCGGTGGGGCATCATGGAGGCGGAAAGTGAGAGATTGTTGCGCCGGAACAATGAATCTCGACGGAGTGCTGTTATCTATGAGTGGCACAAAGAATCTCAACAGCGAATGATCGGGGCACTGCTGTACCACGCACCGGCGTACTTCGGCAACAGTGCGCTCTGCGGCCGCAGCTCGTTCCGTCAACACGGCATTGTCGTGGTTGCTAGCGGCGAGCTGCTGTTGCACTCTGGCTAGTTCCTCCTGGCTCTGCGCTGCTGCCTCCCCTTGCTCCCTGTTGTTGCGGTGGGGCACGATGGAGGCGGAAAGTGAGAGATTGTTGCGCCGGAACAATGAATCTCGACGGAGTGCTGTTATCTATGAGTGGCACAAAGAATCTCAACAGCGAATGATCGGGGCACTGCTGTACCACGCACCGGCGTACTTCGGCAACAGTGCGCTCTGCGGCCGCAGCTCGTTCCGTCAACACGGCATTGTCGTGGTTGCTAGCGGCGAGCTGCTGTTGCACTCTGGCTAGTTCCTCCTGGCTCTGCGCTGCTGCCTCCCCTTGCTCCCTGTTGTTGCGGTGGGGCACGATGGAGGCGGAAAGTGAGAGGCTGTTGCGCCGGAACAATGAATCTCGACGGAGTGCTGTTATCTATGAGCGGCACAAAGAATCTCAACGGCGAATGATCGGGGGCACTGCTGTACCACGCACCGGCGTACTTCGGCGACAGTGCGCTCTGCGGCCACAGCTCGTTGCGTCAACAACGCATTCGACGACCGCAGTGTCGAAGTCTCTTCTTCCAGTTCGGCCACGGGCTTGTTCTATGTAGACATGAGTTTCAGCAGGAGCGCGCACACACGGATGAAAAACGAACGCAAGAGGGAGTAAGAAGTGGTCATCAGCGTTGATCTTGAACATTGGATATCGATTAAGCTGGCAATGGATCACCAGATACCACAGTCGTCGATGAACGTCACCGCCTTTGTCTCCCCCCACCTGCCCCCCCCCCGGTGTTTACCATCGGGGTTGGGTTTTCGTCGCTTGGCAACGACGTTGTAAAACAAAACCCCCAATCCCCTCCCTTTGGTGTTTGCCATCGGGATTGAGTTTTCGTCGCATGGCAATGACGTTGTGAAACAAGCCAATTCACTTCGTGAACTCGGCAACCAGGTTACCGTTTGTTTTTTACCCCTATTGTTTTTTTGGCCGTAACCATGATAATGGTGGTCGAGTGGATCATGTTGTGCAGGGTCGAGAACCCACACTCCGTGCAACGGGGCTGATCGCACCACGTTGTGTTAAAACGGTTAAGCATCCTCGAGGCAGTTACACGGTGCTGATAACTATCTCTGGAAGTGAAAGCACCAGAAAATAGATTAAGTCATACGCAGATGTCATCCGTACGCAAGGAAGTTAGCACAAGATGCCGAACACCCTTAGCAGGATGCAGCGCACCCTTCATGCGACTCGCCAATATCTCACGGCGCTTCGCGCTTGGCGATGTGAGAGCCTGGTCCGGTGAGAACCCGGCGTGCTCCGTCCCGGCTTTGTAGGGTTGCGAGGTCAATGGTCTAACGACTACGGCATGCACGACTATGAGTACACCCCCCACCTCCGCTGCAGCCTTGTGCGCGGCGGCGGTGGCAGCTTCTTCGTCATCCGCGTCCTCATGAGCGCCGCCCTCGCTACAAACTTGGTACTGAATGAACCGGCCACCTCGTCTCCACCTTGTTTGAGCAACGGATATCAAACATCATACGGTTGAGTGACCGTCGTCATGATTACCGCCTACACTTTGTTGGCACATCACCAGCGATTCACGCACCAAGAAGGAAAATTATAATGACCCTCTTTTCCGATCGGCTATGGGATGACGACAGGTTGAAGGAAAATCCATCGCTGGTGTCCTTCGGTTACAACGCATATTTCACATACAAATCCTTCGGTTTCAAAATGTCTTGTTCAAAGACGACACATGATGATTTACTCAACACACGTATTTATCAGGGTAGCCGTAGTACTGAATAGTACGACCATACCAGAGAGAGAGAGAGCTTTGGTACATACCGCTTCACCAAGACCACCAAGACCACGGCGACGACGAATGCCACCGCTTCGTCTGCTCCGAGGACGTTCGAGGGAAGGGAGGACGACGAGCAGTCCTCCTCGAGCATCAAGCAGGCAACGTGCTGATGGCGCTGGGTTCTGGTGCGGCGGGCGTGATGCGTCTAAGTATGGCGAGGAGAGAAGAGGCGAGGTTACCCACGATTATCTCATACAATAAAGGCTCGCACATGTTGCATGGAACTTGCCAAGCGTTGAGCTCCTCAAGTCAACATGACCATGAGGAGCTTTTGGAAGTCAATATTGCCATATGGAGCTTTTCGGGAACGAATCGACATACAGCGCGCTGTTCTGTCTAGCATACCATCGACGGCACTCACATCTCAACCGGCGTTCGCAAGATGCTGGCGCCGGCATCCTTGACCGTGGCGTCCTCACTGGCAACGGCTTGGCTATTATTCGAATCAGGAGGTATTGGGAGTAGTAACACCGTCAAGGACTTGAGTGAGACCCGCCGCAGCTCAATCGCAACAAAGGTAGAGTCATTTCATAGTTTCGGGCAGACACCCATCAAATCCTACAACATGGTGTAAAGCTTGACGGGTGGACATGATGCTGTTCACCTGCGGTTGCCGAAATTCCTTTCCCAATGGTTGCTCGGTCGGCAAATAATTCAAAAACACCAGCAACACCCTGGGTTCCAATTTTCAAGTTCATCTTTACACGAACACCGCACACCACCGACAACACCTCAGCCATCGACATCAAGCACTACGATGGTACTGCACAACATCAACGACGACAGCGGGGTCGACCGAAATCATCATTACCATGCAATAAACCGACTTCCTCGTCCTTCACAACCAAACGAACGACAACACAACAGGCAGTAGGAACAACAAGCACCGCTCCTAGTAGACCCTCGCCAGCTAACCACCATCTTCCGGAGCCGCGAGTACGCTGAAGAGCTTGCTCACCATGTCCGTTGGCGCGCCTCGTTAGCTGCCGACAGGTCGGACCCTTCCCGTGTGGTGACCTCCGCAGGCCTGGAGGTGGCCGGCTGGAGACCCCCTCCGAGGAGGATCGTGCTCTCCGCGGCCACGAGGGAGAGTGCGACCGACGCCTCGTCCACCTCAGCCACGTCGTCCTCGCACGACGCTAGCTGTTGGCGAACGGCGAGCGTGGAAGCTCGCCCCTGGGAAGCGTCGCGTCGAGAACTCTGCAGCTGGTCCTCAAGCCGACGGACAGCCAGCCCGGAGCGTTCCGCCGCGACCGCGGGAGCCCGCTGCTGCTCGTCCACGGTGGCCTGCAGAGCGTCGTTGGTGCCGTGAGCGGCGACGAGCTCGGCACGAAGGTCGCTCTCCATCGTGCGACAACTTTCGGCGGCAGCAGCGGCCGCGGTCTCGAGGGTGGCCACCGTGCCTTCCAACCCCTCGGTGGTGTCGCGCAGGGCTTGTGCAAGCGCAGCAGCATCGTCGCTGGCGGTCGTGGCGGCGGTACTCTCGGACGCTGGTCGGGCGGCGTCGACCACAGCGACATGCTGCAGCCCCTTCACGGTGGTGGATAGCAGAAGGACGGCCTGCTTCAGCCCAGCGACCCGGTCGAGATGGATGTCGGAGCACATCTGGCGGCACGTTGCAACATATCATGGCGGGTGGAAGGGAAAAAGGGGCTTGTGAGTGTGGGGGAGAAACTTCGGAGCAACTGCAAAGACACCGACAACAACTACGCAGCCGGAATGAGAGCGATGGATATTCCTGTGATTCCACGGAGCGACACACTGCTTGGCGAAAAAGTAAAGCCTTTGTAACAATAACAGTTCATGAGAACTGCCGGAGAAGTCTATGCCGCACTCAACAATCCATCACTCTAGTGGATGGACGAGATAGGACTTACCCTCGTGACGCGAGCAACCTCGGCCGCCTTAGACATTAATCGTCGGAGAAGACTCCTGAAAACAAATTCCAGAAACAACAGCGGCATGCATGCGGTAAAATACCAGACGACGGATTGGAAGAAACAATGCGGGTCCTTCATACATGGCGGCCAAGTAGGAATGCACATCGTGTTGTACGAAACAGCTCAATCTACGTAACCTCCGCCATGATGGAAATGATGGACAAACGGCACACCACGAACGTGCACCCCGGTGCAACCCGGTAATACCGTACCGGGAAATCTAATACTTCAAGTACATGTAGTGTTCACAGCAGCAAGTTCCTCAGTCCCGCATGCTCCATCTACTGCACATGGCACCGAGCACAGAGACTCAAGGTATATGACAATCCCACCGAGCTATGCAGCTATTGCTCCTGACATTGACTCCGATGGCGGGAGGGGGGGATGATGTACTGTAGCCCCCCCCGTCCGACCTTGGAAAACAGCACGATTGACTATTCAATCATGGACTTTGATAGTCGGAGGAGTGACCAAACAGAAGGAAGGGTTAAATTCTACGATCGCTTCCTTTTGGACAGGTATGCATACAGTAAATAACAATGTGACAAACCTTCCTCTCA